TGGCAAATAGTTCCTCCTAAGTGTACGGGATCTTGCAACTGAAGGTCAATTACTTTCTGTAAATCATTATCAGGCTGCGTTGTGTGCAATAGTGAATTAGACAGAGTATCTGTGGATGCTGACATGTCACATGTTTTCAACTGGGTAATCCCCGAAACAGGTGTCTTGTTTCTTTCGTTTGAAATGGTGTTTAACGTTAGGCGGTTAGGTGTGGTCTGAGTCAGGGTTCCGCCCTTTAGCCCGACTCTTTCTGGTTTAAATGGTCTGTGTAATTTTTTTCTGTTGATGAATGCAAGTCAGGACAGTCCCGTTGTATATGGCCAAACTGGTGACAGAAGTAGCAAGCCATATTTGCTAATTTTTCAGGTGGAATAGGTCCCCAGCGCCTTTCAAATGGCGATTGTCGCTGATTATCTTGCCTATTATCCATGTTTCGCCATTGTTGGCGATTACCTTGATTTTGTTGGCTGAATGGTTGGGTTGCTGGCTGGACTTCATTTTGAACAGGAAACTGTTTTGCCTGCTGTTGTTTTTGAAGCTGCTGTTTAATGTCTCCAATTTCCTGCTTATGAAATGCTTCCATAGCAGTCATTTTCTCTAGCAATGTTTCCATTTGTTTAGACAAATCGGACTTTGTGTCCGTCTTACCCATAGCGTGAACAGCTAGGTCGCTATCATAATCACTTGGTTCATCCTGATTTGGTGTTGGGTCACGTCTACCGGTTGGTTTACCAAATATAGCTGTGTGGTTATGTTGGAACCATTTTATCTGGTCAATTGCTGCTTCAACAGATGTTGGTCTGGCGGTGGCTCCATGTTGACCAGCTTCTTTATCTGAGCATCCCTGGCATATTTTCCAGATAGCTTGTGTATACATATAACTGTCGGGAAGATTTCTACAGGCTTTACAGGCTAACGAGAGAACTCGGTCTGCCCAATCTTCCAATTTCTCATTTGTATTTTGTCGTGCACTCATGAACTGAACTTGTAACGTCTCTGGTAAGTCTTGAAAATTAAACCTTTTCTCTAATTTGTGAATTAATTCAAAGTAATCCACGCCTTGGTCTCTATCCAGTAAATTTGCATAGTAATCACCTGCTTTACCATGTAAACACCAACACAGTTGGTCTTTTCGTTCCGTGGTAGTCCACGATAAACGATCAGCATACCTATGAAACTTGGTGTAAAAAGTTTTCCAACTTGAGGAACCATCATACTTCAGTCCTTTAGGTATTTCTAGGTTCTTTGATTTTGGCTTTGCTGGAGGCATTAATTGCGGCGACTCCCCATAACTTAAATATGGTCTTGGAGGGTACATATTTCTGTTTATTGTAGAAAATTATGTTGGATTTGGTGTTCTCAAGGAATATACTGGTTCCCTAAATATTTCTGGTGAAGGTATTCTGCGACGGATTTCAGGTGAAGGTATTCTGCGTCGGATTTCTGGTGAAGGTATATGTGATTCTACCTGTTGACGACGTCTTGGGACTGGAACTGGCCTTTCTAATCTAGGTTCGTGCTCGTTGGGCCCTTGCTGCCATCCCAATTGTTTTGTCTGCTGTTGTGTATTTTGATTACGTGAATAATCACGTTTTTCAATGTGCTCATTGGGACCTTGCTGCCATCCCAATTGTGATGTCTGCTGCTGTGTATTTTGGTTACGTGAATAATCACGTTTTTCAATGTTTTCCTCAACATTTAATCTGATACTTGGTTTCGTGTACCCTAATTCATCTGTTCTATGAATTTTGTCTGGCTTAAACTGTCGATCAATTGAAAAATCTTGAACTTTATCCTGGTCATCATACTTGGTTTGTAGTAATGGTTTTCTTTCATCAGGTCTTGACAATTTTGTTGAATACTGGTGGTCCCCATACTGCAAAGTGTAATTTAATGGCTTGCTCATCGCTGAACTGGGACGTGATAACTCACGTTTGACTTCCTCAGGTTCAGGTTTAAGCAAACATTCATCAGAAGGTGTGTCAGAATCTGAAAAGTCATTGATTTCTGCTTCTCGTCTTGCATATTCTGAATGAAATCCAGATGTTTTAACTTCACCATAATCAACATAGTCTTGTAAATCATAACTTGACTGAGTCCGTGATTTGTATTCTTGTAGCTGTGTAACTGGTGTAAAATCTATCAAATCCATCAAAGTTTCAGTAAGTCGTAGTCTTGGTATTTCAGAAAGATGCTCAAACTGAATATTACCATATGTCTCTCTCAAAGAGATAATCTTGTCAGCTGTGACATTTCCAACACCAGGTAACAATAATTAATCTTTGTACGCTCCTTCTGAAAAGCTAAGTCTGCCATTATGTTATGATAACACAAATGTAATTCAATTTAATCACTGGTTGCTGAACCAGAAAAAAAAAAATTAATGTGTATGTGCTATGTGGCAAACCACACAAAAAACGGCTAATTTTTCTGAAAATGGCTAATTTTCTCCAAATTGCTCTGATAACGGCTAATTTGTCTAATTTCTACACAAAACGGCTAATTTTAGCAAAACGGGCCACGTGAAACAATTTTCGAAAATAAATTTGCAAACACTGTAATTAACGCAAGTTTTTATGCTTATATTATCTCCGTGTTCAAACACTTCATAATATACCAAATATAGCAATATGAACTTCGCAATTACACGTGACGTACTCACTTCTGTGTCTCGATAAATTCGTCTTTTTAACACAGGAAACCCTGCTCGCCAAGCGCCAGTGATGTGATTTCCGAGTATTATCACTCAATACTAATACTTCTAATACAATGAAATGCTCCTAATTGTACTAACCTACCAAATATACTCTGATACTCTCTGGTTAAGTTCTAGTACAGGCGTTCTCATTCCCGCCAATACGCCAACTCTCGTTACCTGGTAACTATCTGAGATCTTATCCTGAGCTGGGTAGTTTACCATGGATCATTCCGGGAACCGGGCTACGCGGTATATCTAACTACCGTACTGTCTACATAGTAATGTCACGTCCATTATACCATATTACACAACATTGGTTTACCTATAGACAGAATTTCTTATTTTTTTAAAAATTTATTTTAGACCCCGAAACTGAACCAAAATATTCGAATTCCTGAACAAACTCAATATAATCATTTTGTTTGTCGTTATAGTCGAGCAATCATCAGCATGCTGTAATAATTTGAGTTTTTGTTTTACTATTTGGAACGCTTAATTCCTGTATTTTACTGCTATTTATTTTAACTATATGCCAGAGGTTCTATGACTAAGGCATAAAATGGCATAGATATGTCTAAACTATTTGACACAGCATCATTTACTTGGACCTTACTTTTTTATTTTACTGTCTATATATTTAAAGTAACACAGTTTATATATCCAAGCGGAAAGTTCACTTTCCCTAGTACTTTCAGAATAAAATTTGTTCAACCCTGTTCAATGCTTTCTCTTGATCAAAAGATATTATATTTAATAAATAACCCTAAATTTCGTTTTGGTCCATATATTCAAGCACTGTATCTATTGAGTATAGATTTTCAAATATACTTTTATCTGGACCTGCGCCTGTTTGAGATAGGTCGATCAATTAATTTAACACCTTAGATAATTTCTCTGAAAGAGTTTTAGTTATTATCTTGTAAGCAAAACACAGAAAGCTGATGGTCGCCATTGTTTTGGTTTATATGGTCTCCTTTATTTTTACAATCCCATTGACATATTCGTCAATTTTCCCAACCCAGAAACAGGGAAAATTAACGTTAACACATGCGTCTCATAATGGGATTTAGAATCATGTGAATAAATGCCGTTGACACATTAATTAATCCGTTCACCATGAATTTTTAGATCAATAACAATTGTTAAGTACCATTGCAATGTGACACGAACACGGTTTTAACCAAATCCCATAGATACCAGGCTTAAAATTGTGTACGCCAGACGCTGGTTTCGTCTAAAAAAGACTCATCAGCGACGCTCGAATCAAAACAGTTTAAAAAAAGGTCAAACAAAATACGAAGTTGGAGGGCATTGACGACCCCAAATTCCCAAAGGTTTTACAAAATATAACCAAGTTTTTTCTTATATTGTCAAATATATGTTTAATTTCTTTTTTCTATGACAATATGTGTAAATATTTCCCAACAACATCAATAATGAATAATAATCAATAATAAACTGGAATCTAAAAAAAATGTCTCTTACAGCCATTTGCTAGCTTTTCTTAAAGATTTAAGAGTTATATCTCTTGGAATGCCTTATATTTATTAAAACATTAGTTGTCTATTATCGAAATCCCTTTGAATTCTATAAAAGGTATTGTCCATTTATAGATAACTAGACTCTAGATTAATCAACGAGGTGCAAGCATCTCCGCGAAATATAGTATGCAAACACATTTGTTTATGTCTTTTCTTAGATTCCGTTATTTTAAATCATGATAACAGTTGTAAATACGGTTTCATTCCTAAGAGATGATTCAATTTTAAACAAAACAGCTGTTTTTGTTTTAGTAATCTGTTGTTTTGTGTTTTTTGTGGTTTGTTTTGTTTTGGATGGACTGGTTGTGTTGGGCTCGTTTAAACATTCTATAAAATACAGTTGCAATCAAGTAGTATCTAGTTAACCTTGAGCTCATTTGCTTTCATCGTATGATCACATTATATTTATTTAACGTTTACATTTTCCTTTTGTAATTCATTGAAAAGTTAGTTCGTTAAAGAAAATGCTCTACGTGAAGTCCTCCGGCGAAATAACATCTTGCATTTTAAAAACTAAACGACGAAATAGCAGTAAATTCTAACACAAAACTATAACTGTAATCATCAAAACTACACCAACCACCGAATTCAGCGATAAAACAGACATACAATAAACAAAGCTTAACACATAGTCTATATAGACTGTCTTGTTACAGTCACAGAATTCCAGACCTTAAGTGTATATTTTTTTTTAATTTGTGACAGTCTGTTATCCTATTCCAATCCGTTTTATGATATACCTAAGACTTTTGTTATTTCAGTTGATGGTCTAGAGGTGTGAGTCAAAGTCGGGCGACAAATGAAATAGAAAATGTAACACACCAGCACCGCAGATCTTAAATGAAACTAGAAATATTTTATATGGAGAATAGACTGAGATGCCTCTCGATCTAGATAGCGTTTTGACTTGGTTAAATGGACACAAAACTGTCCTAGATTACAATTATGGTAAGAGTAATCGATGCAGAAAAGGATATTACAAATGTGAAGTCGAGAGTGATATAACAAGAAGCAACATCTCAGGGTACAGGAAACTTATTTGATAAGATTAAGCTACAGAAATATAGCAGTTGCAAAAGGAGAAAACATGTTTTTAAACAGACATAACAGCATTATGATAGAATAACTAGATACTTAACAGGAGGAAAATACTACGTGGAAAGTAAAACTAATTGACATGCGTTATCGATTGATTATAAAAATAATATCCTTATATTCTCTGGAATGCAGGAACATAAAGATGAAAAGAGGATAGACAAATTTGCAATTCCTTATATTATGAGATGGGAATTGAACAAAAACTAAAATTTGGCAATGTTCATGACTTTGGTAAGAGTAACACAGTTTGGCGACTATGTTGAATGCATCTGTCCAATCGAAATTGAAATAAAGGATACAACAGATACAGTTAAGTCTGTCTCATATCTTGACTCAGTCAAAAAAGAGAATTTCAGCTTCCAATTTGTGAACTTTCAATTTCTATGAAGCAACATTCCAGTAACGCCTGCATATGAAGTATATATCTCCAAGTTGATACGATATTCCAGAGCTTACGTTACCTATCATGATTTCCTTGATAGAGGGTTGCTGCTCACAAGAAAGCTATTGAATAAAGAGTTCCAAGTGGTGAAGTTGAAATTGTCCCTACAAAATTTTTACCGAAGGCCATCAATAGTTTGTTAACCATTACTCAATGTCTGTTTCACAGATGACGACGGATATGTTCCTATCATCGTAACAACAATTCCTGCCTCCTTTTCCCCAAATGTGACCTACCGAATTAGACTTATAACCGGGTTTGGTACTTACATGAGCAACACAACGGGTGCCACATGTGGAGCAGGATCTGTTTACCTTTCCGGAGTATCTGAGATTACCCAGGTTCTTGGTGGGATTCGTGTTGCTCAGTCTTAGTTTTCTATGTTGGATACTGGTGTTTGTCTTTTGGTCTTTTCTTTTTTTGCCATGGCGTTGTCATTTTATTTTCGACTTATGAATTTGAATGTCCCTTTGGTACCTTTTGCCTCTCTTTTACAAGGACAAATATACACCGACTATAACACGATTTATGTGCGTCTGGAGGCAGAAATACAAAGAAGTTAATAATCACTTCGTGATCAACTCTATATAAACGTTGAGTTAGTATCAGTTCCTGAGGATTAGGCGCCTCTTGAAGAGTTACACAAATCAACTACCAGACAAGAAAAATCTTCACGAATTGACTTTACTCTAGAGAAAGATAGTTCGTGTAAATTCAGCCTTGGAAGAGAAAGTAACTATCCAGCTCAATCAACAGATTATACTACAAACACTCACTTGTTAAATAAAACCATTTTAACGTTATATATTTGTGAATTATAAGTAGACGTGTTCATTATCAAAAGGTATTGGACGTATATAAAAACAGAATAGATATACGAAATTTTGAAATTAAGCTGAAAATTATATATTTTTGGCGGAAAGAGAATAGTTTTATGTTTGAGAAGTTATGTTAACTGTTATTAATACAGATACTTATAGTACATAATCAAAGTATCTGCTATAACTATGACAGATAACAATTAAGTTCAACTTGTTGGAATTTTTATTTTTACTTTCTGAAGGTTTTCCATGTAAGAGATTCATCACAGTAAAAAACGTGATCTGAAATTTGAAGTCCGCAATTAGTACTCATAAGAATTCCAATAATTTTACTATACAAAAGCCTGCCATAACGAACAAATATATAATACAAGATAAAAATTTAATCATAACATGCCACAATCATGCATGCTATATTACAAAATGAATTGATCCTTGTTTCGATAGAATTGATTACAACGCAAATAGAAAAGATTTGAAATGGAAGTAAATGCATTTGTTAGGGAGCAGATAATTGAGTAGTAGTGCACTTACTAGACGAAAACATAATGCTGGATTTATATAAAAAGTTGTGTGTAATTTAGGTGATTTTACACCGTGTTTTTGACTCGGCGCTTGAAGTTGTTCAGTTTCTACCAGTAGTTTCATATTTCTGATGAATTGGTTGAAACAAAAATGTTTTAGAAGTTTGCAATTCTTAGCATAAGACGTCGATGTTATTCTTATATCGAAAAAAAAAACCATTGCCTCCTGCCTTTTCATCTGCGGGTACCAAGGATTTGTTTGTTATTAGATTCCTTTCGATGAGAATTTATAACAGATATTATGAAGTCTTATTGTGTTTGAATACTTTTTGGAAACATGTACAAAATGATCAGAAACCTGATCAGAAAAGTAATTTTATAGACACTCTGTCATTGTTCATTAATTAAATGATTTCTAATGAAGGTATCTTATGCTTTGAGTATCTTAAGTGAACGCTTCGGATAAACTCAATATTGTTGTTGGATATAGGATTTACTTACTGTAGCAGTGAAAGTCGTGTTGATGAGGAAGGGCTTGTTTCATTGTTTAAGGTATGTATTTGTAACATTTTCGAATGACTCGTGTTCTGTATATCATTTCTTCAATTAATAAAATTGATGTGTTTTTACTTTGGTGTAACTTAACTATGAGTGGCTGTTCGTGTCATTGGCGGTATAAACATACCGTATGAAATTTTCAACCCGTTGGGTTTTTACTTTCAACGCGTTGGTTTTCACTTTCAACGGGTTGGTTTTTACATTCAACGCGTTGGTTTTCACTTTAAACTTGTTGTTATCATTTTCAACACGTAGGTTATCATTTTTAACGCGTTGGTTGTAAAAACTAGCGCGTTGATTCGTAATTCATACGGTATGAAAAACCAACGCGTTGGTTTTCAATTCTTTACCGTAAGTTTTTCATTTCATACCGTAAGTTTTGCACTTTTGTCAACCAATCAAAAACTTTCTTACACAGTATTATCAAATATGGTTACACTAATGACTGGACCGATGACAGGACAATGACAATGACAGGACCGATGACAGGGCAATGACAGGACCAAATGAGAAATGCTAATAACTTTTTTATTTCTCAAAGGAGTTATCTCAAATTTGAAATATAATAAGATTTCATCACTTAATACATAAATGTAATAAAAAAAAAAACGAAAAAAAATATTAAAAGCTTGCGAAAACGTGACCTGACCAACGTTGACAATGACCTGACCAACATCGACAATGACAGGACCAAATGAAAATGCTAATAACTTTTTTGTTTCTCAAAGGATTTATCTCAAATTTAAAATTTAATTAGATTTCATCATTTAATACATAAATATAAGGAAAAAAAACGAAAAAAAAAGTATTAAAAGCTTGCGTAAACGTTACCTGACCAATTTTTTACTGATTCAAACATGGCAATCAACTTGATAAATTGCAGGTGGGTATACCATAGCAATCAACAAAAGGTAACCAGTTTTCTGTACATCTTCTGAACCATGCACCCATGCTTCATTCAATGTATAAAATTACATTTATATCCAATTCTGTGACTTTTAAATGACATTTTTTTTCATAAAAGAATTTCTGTGTACCAAGTTTTCATTATTTGTAGAAAAAAATATAGTAATTCTTCCAAATAACATTCCTACTAAAGGTCAGGGTAGGATTAGGTTTGAGGAAAAAACATTTATCTTTTGGTCACTGACTGCTTAATTATACATCCAAGTTGATTTCTTTGATCATTGGTAACCAGCAAGGATTATGGATATGTGCATCAATAATATAATGTTTTTGTTAGTCTCCGGGCAAACCAAAGATATGACTACATTGATTATATAGCAAGTATTAAAAAAGAGAGATGAGGCAAACTTAATTATAACATGTTCTGTGGTTGTTATTTATAGTAATTTTGAACAAATATTTAGGAGTTGAGCAATAAGGTGCAAAAGCACCTCTGAATATTGGCTGCTTCAACACCATGACTGAAAAGTGAAAGGTCTAAAAGATAAACTAAATGTCTTTTATTGTATCAAATCCATCTGAAATATTTTTTCTGTCGCGTTCACCACACTTGTTTCTTTCTTTTTGCATACAGGATGAAGGTTTGGTACCATTAAAACGTTTAAACCCGCTGCAATTGTTTGCACCTGTCCCAAATCAGGAATCTGATGTTCAGTAGTTGTCGTTTGTTGATGTGGTTCATAAGTGTTTCTCGTTTCTCGTTTTTTTTTATAGATTAGACCGTTTGTTCTCCCGTTTGAATGGTTTTACACTAGTAATTTTTGGGGCCCTTTATAGCTTGGTGTTCGGTGTGAGCCAAGGCTCCGTGTTGAAGACCGTACTTTGACCCATATTGGTTTACTTTTATAAATTTTGACTTGGATAGAGAGTTGTCTCATTGGCACTCATACCACATCTTCTTTTATCTATGTATATGTTATTTTTGGTTATACTTATTTTGTGTCAGCTTGATATACATGATGTATTCCTTGTTTCACATTTCTTATAATTCGATTATAAATAATTATGAAAAAATACTGAAACTGAAGAAACTTTACTGTTTCAAAATATTATCAAACATACCATTAACAAAGTTTTAATGCCAGTAATGGCTTGTATTTTTTGTTTATTATTAAGCATAAAAAATGAAAATTTGGAAGTAATGATAAAATTGTTTTATACATCATGTACATTTGTAAATGCAACTTCTTAACAGTGCTCTTTATATTAAGTTTTTTTTACATAAACTGAAACTAAAATTAATATAATTTAATGTGTATAATAGTATAATTGTTGGTAACAATTCTTTCACGATAAGTACTTTATATTTTCCTAGAAAATAACATGTGGATCATATTGATGGTTATATTTTTTAGGATTTGACTGATGAAGATATACTTCCATCAATGACAGAGGCTGGTAATGTATATTCAAACATTTTATTGCTGGAACATATAGAGAAAAATGGGCATAATACTATCTGACCATCTGAATAATGGGGAGATAATGTGAATTTCAAGAAACTTGAGTTTTAATACGCCCGTCTAATAAGACGGGACGTATTATGGTATACCGTTGTCCGTCCGTCGTCAACACTTTGGACAATAACTCAAAAACACTTTAACCAATTTCAATAAAACTTTGGTAAATTGTTTATATCTATTGATGTAAGCTCCCTTTCGATTTTTATAAATTTCAGATTTTGCGTTTGGGATTTATTGGACTTTATTCATTAAAAAAGGGGGAATTTTCAAGTTTCCGGAGTGTAGCTCAAAAAGACTTTCACCAGTTTCCATGAAACATTGATGAATTGATTATATCTATTGATGTAAGCTCCGTTTCGTTTTTACAATTTCAGATATTGCGTTTGGGATTTATGGGACTTTATTAAAAAAATTGGGAGGATTTTCCAGTTTTCGGACTTTAGCTCAAATTCCTTTTAACCTTTTCTCATGTTATATTAACACAACATTAGGATTGGCGGAAGAAAGCTCCCTTCTGATTAAGAAAAAAAATT